AGTAGTAGTTATATATATTACTTATTACTTACTTACTTTACTTACTTTACTTATTCTTATCTATCTATATTTTCTNTCTTATTTTCTTTTTGTTTTGTTTTTTGTTTCTTCTCTCTCTCTCTCTCTCTCTCTCTCTCTCTCTCTCTCTCTCTCTCTCTGACGTATTGTTTCATATTTCTTTGATTTTGATGAGTTTTTTAAATATAAACCGCCATTGAATTGTTTGTTTTAATGTTGGTTCTATACTTCTATTCGTTTATGAGGGTGGAAGATTAAATTGATTTTTTTTTTTGGTAGGTAATTCTATACTTCTATTCTTTTATGTGGGTGGATGATTAAATAGATTTTTTTGGGTGGGTAATTAAATGAAATTTTATTGATTACATTGATTGAAAGTTCTTTCGACTCAATTGCATCTTCCTTGTTTATATGATTTATTTTTGTAATATATATGGATTTTTTGGTGCTTGATCAAATTTATCTCACTAAAATTTGATTTATTATCTAAAATGGAAATAATACCCCCTCCCTGCCTCTCTCTTAACTCTAAAATTTTTTGTTCTTTTATAATAAATCTTTTTTTCTTATTGTTGGCTGAGAAATTCCCTTCAGTGAGTTTTTTGGGGATGATTTGAGAAATTTTCTGAGTTTTGAGCGGATTATATTTGTAAGATATTTTGTTCTATGGTTATTTTTTAAATGGGTTTTTCCTCATTGATCATTATGGTTCTAGAGGGAAAAAGAAAAAAGAAAAAAGAAAAAAAAAAAACGCTCAATGAAAAAGAGAGAAAGGAAATATGAGATAAAAAATCTTTAAAAAAATTTACAGTGAAAAATCTGATTTCAATAGAATTTACAGTGAAAAATCTCAAAGAAATCTCAAAGACCTCTCAAAAAATCTGATTTCAATAGAATTTACAGTGAAAATTCTTTTTAATTTGGTTAAAGTGTTCTTTAAAAAAAAAAAAAAAGGTTTATATTGGATCAGTGCATGTGCTTGCTAAGGAATTTTCAGATTTGAAATCTTTGAAAGGTCCAAGTATCAATTGTGAATAATCTCATGAATTGCAGACTCTCTCTCTTTCTTTTTTTCTCATTCTAGCAATGAGTCTGCCCAATAACATTTTTCATCTCTCTCTCTCTGTTTCTTGTTTCTGATTCAAGAAATGAGTCTGCCAAATAACATTTTCTATAGGGATTGTTCATCTCTCCCTCTTTTTGCCTCTGTTTCTTGTTTTCTGTCTCTAGCAATGAATCCTGTATTTCTTGTTTTCTCTTTCTAGCAATGAATCTGGACAATAATAATAATAATAATAATAATAATCTCATGGGGTACTTTTCTTAAAATAGAAAGGCAACTTTGTTATTGGATTTTTTTGAAAGACCTTTTTGTGCACCTCTCCTCTCCTCTAATAATATGCTTTGTTGAAAGGAACTCGCTCCTTTTCATTTGAGTGGGACTTTCTTTCTCTTTTCGCTTTCTTTGCATGTGGACAGTTTAACTATTAAAGATCCAAATCCAAAGACTCATTATTTCTCTCTCTAACGCTTGGCCTTTGATTATTTTCTTTGGCCTCTGCCTAAATATTTGATCTTGATCAATTAATCAGTGTATTTTTTGGGTTATTTTCTTATGGAATAATTCACTTATTAGCAATATTGGACAAGTCTGCCGACTTTTTTCAAGGCGGCCGATGAACTCGGACTCGGGCACTGGCCCAGCCGAGTAATCCCGATTTCATAAGCCACCCTTTGGGACATACCCCTACAATGCATTCATTGGCTGATTTACTATACAAATCTGCCAATTTATATACTAATCAGCTAATTTGCACGACTAATTGGCTCAGGCCATGACCAACTAGTTGGTGCGATTCGATCTTTTTTACACTGCTTATTAGTATCTCGGCTCTCTCTCTCTATATCTCAACCATTCATTGGTTTCTCTCTTTAAACATTAGTCCTTTAGCTGCTGTTTTTTTATGCTTCTTTAGGTAATGATTTCACTTAACATCTCTCTCTATCTTTGATTGGTTTATTTGTTTTCTCTCTCTAAGAGGCTTCTCCAACTAATTGACTTTGATAAATTAATTGTGAGTTTTTGGCTTTTTTCTAGACCTGTTTGGATGACAATTAATTTTATTTGAAATAGATTTTTTATTGGAAATTAATGTACTTAGAATAATGTTATTTTGTTTACTGTTTGGCATGTATATTGTATTATTTCTCATCATCATCCAAGCCTTGTCTCAATGATTCGGGATTAGCTACATGAATCTTATCCGTCTATTCTTTTCTATGAAGATTATACTTTTAGTAAGACCAAAACATCATGTAGGTTCATGATTCATGATAAGATGTGGAAAAATTTTATATTGGCTACCTACCTAACACAATTCACCTCATTTACCTAGGCTTTGTACAAGTTAAGAGAAAGTTTGGTACAAGTTAAGAGAAAGTTTAAAGTCTTCATCCTTACTTAAATATTTAATATTTTCAGTGATTTCCAACTATATTTAGTTATTTCAGGCAAAAAAAATTAATTTTTGTAAATAATTTTGAATTAAGTAAAACTTTTCAAAAAGATAAACTTATATGTAAAATTGCCTTAAGTTTATTTCAAACAATTTTATAAGAAATTCTCTACAAAGAGACCATTTATCTTTGGGTGCGGTTTGTATAGAGCCGAGGCTCCAAACAATCACATTAGAGCCCACCTTCAAATAGTGTCGAGAAATGTGGTTTCAATACTGGAAATCTTTGACTAGCCTTAAAATAAATGTTCATCTTTAATTATAAAATTTAAAGCTTCAAAAATAGTGTAGAATGAACATATCTATAAAAACTTGAATAACTTAAAAATTGACGGTCCAAAAATGTATTACAAGATGCACTACCTCCAAAACTTGAAATCTAATTTTGTTCTCAAGTCCATGCATCTTGATGTGGAGATGATTAAATTGAGGATAGTTGGACATCAAAACAACCTCTTCTAGTGAAAATTTAGAGATAGGCTCTAATTTGATTGTTTAGAGTCTAGGCTTTATTTATGTAAACTTTTATAAAAACGTTTCCTTTTATCTTTTATACATGGAGGTCACAATTATTCTCACTTATTAGATGTCAAATTGGATGGCTTGGGATGAGTCACGAGGTTTGAGAATCTTTTTTTTTGGGAGAACTTTGTAGTTATTCAATGACACTCTTACAACTACTCATTTTAAAATTTAAGGGACAAAAATTATCAAACTTTGGTGGCTTACTCCAAGTTATCCAATTTGACATCTATCGAGTGTGAATGATTGTGACCTTTATGTACAAAAGATAAATGATCTCTTTGTAGACAATCCCCTCTAAATATTAGAACTTTAGCAATTAGTCGTTGTCAATTTAGTTTTATTTAGTTAATCATTCACTTACTAGGTCATCATCTCTCTCTCTAAATGTTAGTCTTTGATTAGTTTAATTGATTTCTCTCTCTAAAGATTAGCCTTTGATTTGTTTCTTTGGTCTCTCTCTCCAAAGTTTTTAACTTGGTCTTATCTTAACAATCAAGAAAAAAAAATGACCTTGATCTATTATATGTGTTTTTCTAGTCTCTTAGGGAGTAATTCACGTATTACTTTCTTCGGGTCTCTCTCTATCTCGAGAGAGAGAGAGAGAGAGACTAGTCACTTAATGGTCACTATACTCTCTCTCTAAACATAAGACCTTGATCTCTCTCTCTAGATAGAAGCCATTGAATGGGTTCTTTAATTTCTCTCTAAATATTATATCTTTTTTTATCTACTGTAGTCTTGGCTTTATCTTAGGTAATGATTCATTCAGTGTTTCCGGAGTCGGCCGAGTTACTCGGCCTTGCCCTATGGGCCAAGTGAGTTTTTTCAATTGTACAACATCATGTAGGTATTTACTATATATATAATATGTCAACTAATGCGGAAATGGTCGAATTGCTTGTATTCTTTGTTGTGTTGCGGGTTCCATTCTCCCCGAGTAACTCGCTTCGGTCGTGGGCCGAGTACCTTGGCTGAGCCAAGTCCATAGTAGAACAAGTTATTCGGACTCGCCCAAGTAACTCACTTCGGCCAACATCCAAGTACCTTGGGCAAGCCAAGTCCCAAAACACTGGATTCATAACTAGTTTCTCATCTCTATCTACATGTACAAAATCAGATTAAAGATTGGGCGTTGATCAGTAGATTGCTACGAATTTTTTAGGGGTGGCATGGACAGAGGAAGAGCACCGGACATTTTTGGCAGGGTTGGAGAAGCTTGGGAAGGGAGATTGGAGGGGAATTTCAAAGAATTATGTGACCACAAGAACCCCAACTCAAGTGGCTAGCCACGCCCAAAAGTACTTTCTCAGGCAGTGCAGCCTTAAGAAGAAGAAGAAGCGTAGGTCAAGCCTCTTCGACTTGGTTACACTCAACAATGTAATTTGTTACATCTCTCTCTCTCTCTCTCTCTCTCTCTCATGGTATTTGTAGATTTTTACTATGTTGGGTCTCTCTCTCTCTCTCATGGTATTTGAGATTTTTACATGTTGGGTCTCTCTCTCTCTCATGGTATTTTAAATCTTTTACATGTTGGGTCTCTTTCTCTTATGATATTTGGTATTTCTCTCTCATGGTATTTGAAATTTTTTACATTTTTGTCTGTCCTTTGGTGTATGGGCTCTCTCTCTCTTGTTCTCTTTCTTGTCTGTCTTTCACCACGCTCTCTCTCTCTCCCCTCCTTTTTCCTCTCTATCACTTTCTATCTCTGTAGTATTTAAGTCTTTCTCTTTCTATCTCTGTACTATTTTGACTTTTTTTTCCTGTTTGGCAGTGTGGTACATCTGGAACTGCCCCTGCTCTTTCTCTGAACCTAGACGATCAACTTCCCAACGAATGTTTCCTCTCCAATCATCCAAACGATCAAGTAATCTCTCTCTCTCTCTCTAAATTGGTCCAAAAATTGGACCCGGCAGATCAGGTCGTCCAAATCTTGAACCCGAACATCATCTAGGTCCCGGTCCGGTAACATTTTTCGAGTCCCGATTTATGCAATATACCTAAATATAATTAAGGACATAGATATTTTGATTTTTGGGCCCGATCCAGGTCCGGGTCCGGGTCCCACACTATGTCCAACCCGTCCTGTTGCCACCCATCATAAAAAGCCCAAAAAAGGATGGAGATAAAGCAAAGCAATATCGACGTTCTTGCCAGCTAACTCTCTCTCTCTCTCTCTCTCTCTGTTATTCAGGTGGAAAGCACAAAAAACCAGGTGCTAGATAAAGGATCAGAGACTAACCCAACTTTCTCTCTCATTGGAAACCCTGAGTTTACTGGTCTAGCCTATCCAATCCACAGTACTTCCATCGGAAAAGCATCCAGCTCTGAGTTCCCCCAGCTCTCCTTCGAGCAATTGCCAGAATTTATGGCGGAATCTTACCCATATCGCCAGTTTCCGGCAACCAATGCGAAGTTTCCGGCCTGTCTCTCTAACCCACCTGTTTCTCTTTCTAGCACACCGGTCATTGAAAACAGGGAGTTGGAGCTGAGCATTGCACCACCTCAGGCAAGCACATTCTCCTCCCCTTCTACTGGTAATGTGGTGGAGGCTCATTGAAGTGATATGAGAGCTCTATCAGTTTTTCTCTCTCTACAACATGGCATTGTGGTGTTATGTACAGGAGAGAGTTCAAAAAGTGGGTCCTCTCTCTCTCTCTCTCTAACGTTTGTTTAACTATACTCTATGACCTTGAAAAGTTCTACCATTTGTCTTGCTCAATGTTTTATAGGAAAGCTCTGTATGTAATCCCGTCCACTTGTGGGACCCACTTCTCAACTTTTGATCTCAATTGACGGCCAGGATTGATTTGCTTATTTTTAATTTCGTTATATGAGATATTTTTTAGTGAAATTTGGAGCGTTTCTTCTTTTTTTATAGGGGGTATTCTAATAAACTTTCAATACATAAATATTTTTCTGTTTTTATTCGTATGCCGCTCTTATTAAATGTATACATGCCTAAAATGATATGGGAAAAGCTTTTATGGAGCCGAGGCTCTAAACAATCAAATAAGAGCACAATCAAATAAGAGCTTACCTCAAAAATTTCACTGGAAGAGGTTATTTCGATGCCTAAATATCTTCAAATTGATCATCTCAACATCAAGATGCATGGACATGAGAAAAAAATAGATTTCGAGTTGTGGAAATAGTGTATTTTATAATGTATTTTTAGACCATCAATTTTTAAGATTTTCATCGATATGTTGATCTGCACTATTTTTTGAAGCTTTAAACTTTATAAATAAAAATAAAATTACATTTTAAGGCTATCACAAAGATTTTCAATATTAAAACTACATTTTTTGACACTTTTTGAAAGTAGGCTTTAATCTGATTGTTTAGAGCCTAGGCTCTATACAAACCGTACCCACCCAATATGATATAAAATAAAAATTAAAAGCACAATATGATATAAAATAAAAATTAAAAGCACAATATGATATAAAATAAACATTAAAAGCAAAAACTATGATATAAAATCAACTTTAAAAGCAAAAACCATGATATAAAATAAAGATTAAAAGCACAATATGATATAAAATAAAGATTAAAAGCAAAAACTTTGAACTGTCAGATCCCTGAAAAGGACTCGTGGTATTGTGATTCAACTCATGCCAGCTATCTTCTTAGATTAGATGGTTTACTGCATGGATCGCATATGCTTTATAGGTGGGAAGGTCGCATATAAAGCTTTCCCATGTTTCAAGACCAGAAATCGAGTTTTGGATGACCCCACTCGTTATGCTAATTCTCGTTGACAAAACCGTTGAAAAATCAGGTAACAAAATAGATAAAAAAAATAACATCCAAGAATTTGAGGGGAACGGATCACGATACATTTGTCTTTTAAACCCGGAATCGGTTACATCGAACTCGACCAGCCGAACTGGTGAAAAAACAGCTAACAAAATTAATACAAAGTAAAATCAAAGGATTTAGGAAAAGGGAATCTAGATCGTCGATTCACCCAATCCAATCCAAATTGACGATGCTTGGACTGAAACCAGATTTAAGACTCTTGCTCGTCAAAGACATCAAGGAGCCTTACACAACCTCTCTCCCCCCCCTCCTTTGGGGAGGTGCACTCAAATTTCTTTTGGAAGCACCAAATAGGTATATAAAGCTCCCCTAGGTCCATGTCCTCATAAATTTTGCCCTCATTCTATTCTAACAGTTCAGCAATAGGAATTGAACTTCATATTTAACCCATTTTACATAATTTTGCCACCTTATGACATCAAATTCGGCCGCCACATTTAGCTTTTACCATCCTCTCACTCTTACTTTGGATGGATTTCTCAATCTTTAGCAGACTTTGTTTAGTTTGTTCTTTTCTTTGGGATGTATAGAGGATTGAAAATGACTATGGATCTGGGTCAAAGGATTTGGTTTGGGCTTAACTGGTTAGCAGTCAAGGTTTAGCGGCACTACATCTCAAGTTCGATTCATCCCACTGAACCACCTAAAAGAAATCACCACCGCCATCATTTAAGCTTTTTTCCAACTATTTGGTGTCCACTACAAGATTCATGTTCTTCCATTCCAATCTACCAATAGCCATATTATCATCCCGACTATAAGTCACAATATTTTTTGTCGCTACTTGGAGCATTCTCATTGTATAAGTCATTATATCTCTTCTCACTATTTTTTTTTTTTTTTTTTTTGACAAGCGCACAATAAATTTATTCGAGATAAACTACCAATAATGCAATGATGAAATTGAACAAACAGACAATTAGCATGAACACTGTCCTTAACAAGAGGGTCAGTTCTCCCATTAGTTTCCCTATAAACATGGTTAAAGCTAACCACTTCCTTTCTGCAACAATCCATAGCATGCATCCCCTGCTTCTTATAACTTCATGGAGGCTTGCTCAATCCCGAACACCAATTAATAACATTAAGAGAGTCCCCTTCAATCACCCACCCCATCAACAGATATTTATCTTTCAAAAATTTTATCCTTTGCATAACAACCATAAACTCATCATTGTTAGCAGGGGCAATCCCACAAGAGCCGTAAACGATAAAATTTCCCTACGAAAGAATTTGATACAAGATCCCCCAAACCAACAGGTCCAAGATTCCCATAAAAGCTCCCATCAAAGTTTGATACAACCCCTAATAGGTGGGACCGGTCTATGTTCCCTAAAACCCATCAAAGATCTAATATTTAGAAACACATCAGTCCTAGAAATCTCCAATATTTTGCCTTCTTTGCTAACAGATAGCCACAACCAAATATTTTGTAGGATCCTCTTCTTGATCTCATATCCAACTCCAAAAAGTTGCCCTCAAAGATCTTTATATTTATTTTAAGCAAAACCTCCCACAAAATCGAAGCTCGAAATAGCTGCCAAATCGAAGCTCCTACATTTGGCAAGAAAGGAAGAGATAGATAATCAATAACATGAGTATGTTGACCAGGTAAAGGTTGTGGAATAACCTATCGGAAGAAAAGCCCATCTCATCCATAATTCAGACTTGAAGTTGCAATATAAAAATAAATTATCACCATTCTCCTCGTCCTCTTTGTATAAAATGCAGCAATTAACAATCAATTTCCTACTCTTTCGGAAATTATCCACAATAGGCACTTTATTCTGTGATAGATTCCAAAGGAAAATATGAATCTTATGTGGTATGCGCCACTTCCAAATGGCTTGTAGATGAGGCAGTTCCCATCTGATTCTTTCATCATATAACAAAAGATGGACGTACCTTACAGAGAACATGCCATCATTCTAAAGCTCATCAAATTCTCGTGAAACATAGGCTGTGGATAAGTCCCTCATACTATCACAAAACTGCACCAAAATACTATCAGGTACCCTATTACACATAAAACGAATATCCAATATTACTTTATCAACCCACACATCATAGACATCTACCACTTTCAAGGACTGGTTAGTAGATTTTTCAAACAGTTCTCTATATTGAACCTTTAATAAATTAGATCCTAACCATTTGTGATTCTAGAACTCTACGGAGGAAGAACTCTACGGAGGAACCCCTACCAACCTCCCACCTCACACTTCTCACAACTGCCTCCTTTTGAGCAAATATACCTTCCCAACGTTGGGGCCTTGTGTTTCTTCCTCCATTACTTTCATACATGTCCTTTTGGATCTTTTATGTTTTTTTTTAGAGTCTTTCGCTTGAATCAAATCACAACCCTAACTAGTATTGTTCTAAATGGACGATGTACATAGCTAGACTACCAAAGTCTATTATCCTTCAACTTATCACCTATCGGAGCCATCCCTAAGTTCCAAAAGTAATAGTCATTCCTAATTCTATTATTTCTTGTTTTGACATTCATCCACCTCAACATCCCCATCTTAACTACACTCATTCTATGACTATGTTGATTCTTGACCATCCAAAATTATGTCCTATAAATCATGGCTGCCCTTGAAGCTGTCCTATAGAACTTCCCCTTCTGTTTCTTTGAGATGAATTGATGACTAAAAATGAGTATGGATTGGTGGCTTAGGTAGGGCCTGGTTAAAAATAAGTTATTTTAATATGATAAGTTAGGGGCCTTGGGGTGATTTTAAAGGTCAAACTGGCTTTTTGGTTTGTTGGAATTTCAGTATGGGAAAGGCTTTAGCTAAGGTAAGGTCTGTGTTTCGGCTTGAATGAGATAGAGGTCTAGGTTCTTTCTGGCAGAGCTTCAGTGTCAAGTCTAGAAAATCGGCCTCCCTAAACTAGAAGGGAAAGGGTGTTTTTTTTTCCTTTACCGGTAACTCCTTTCATTCCACATGTTGAGGTATTATGATCAAGGGGGTTTTGTTTTGAAGTGAATGGTGCCAATGCTAGACTAGCAAGTTTTGCAAAAAAAAACATATAAAAAAAGTCCGTATCCAAGCTATCCAATTTGACATTTAATTGCTAGAAGTACTTGTGACCTCCTTGTCACAATGGTAAATAGTCTCATAGTATACAATCCTTTAAGTTTTTATTTGCATTATCTTTATTCTTATTCAAACGAGAGATGGAGTGATAAAGGAAACGAGGAGATAGACGTTATAAGCCTCTTTCTTTAGATAGAAACATGAAGTTTTGATATATATATATATATATATATATATAT